TTCTAGGGAGGAGCGAGCGCCTTTTCCCTCCCTGCGGGGTCCCAGCACCGGCAGACCCCCCGAGCTTTGCCAGCAGCGCAATGGACTTGGCCTATGTCTGTGAGTGGGAGAAAAAGCCGAAAAGCAACCACTGCCCTTCCATCCCCTTAGTGTGCGCCTGGTCCTGCCGGAACCTCATCGCTTTCACCACAGACCTCAAAAATGAGGAGGAAAAAGGTACGACGTGCTTGTGGAAGGTTGGGTAACATCTCCGGGAAACTCACAACACGTTTAGGCAAGTCCTGCCATCAGGAACTGCTGGGCCAGGTGGCCTGTGCTCTGCTTTGACCCTAAAACCTCTCAGCTGCACTATCCAACACAGGAAACTGGTTCTCTTTCCTTTCCTTCCATTCTGTAGCTTTAAAGGGTGTTGTGTTCTCTGGGCAGCAGCTCTCATCCTGCTAAACTAGGGCAAGCTGTGTGTTGGGATCTGGTACCTCACCTGACTTACCAAACACGGTTGTTATCCTTCCCAAAATCATGTGATGTAGAATATTTTATGACTTCCCCTGTGTGAGCTGGGGCTCTGTGGGTTTAGAAATGCCAGCTGGGTAGCTAGTAATGAGGGAATCCCTTCTTTTTTCATGGAGATCTCACCCATATGGTCCATATCATCGACACTGAGCATCCGTGGGACGTCTATTCCGTTAACTCTGGCCATACTGAAGTCATCACTTGTTTGGAATGGGATCAGTCAGGTGAGCTTGGATCCCTTGTTGTTATCGCTGTGTCCCACCGTTCATGTGTGTGCATTTCCTAAAATGATGGTATACGATTCATTGTGACGAGGGAGTTTCTTGCTTCGCAGCCGTGAATTGGCTGTCGCCATTTGAACTGGACTGGGGTGCTTTGAATTCTCGGTTGATTTTTTGGCTGTACCCCCTGGTTTTTATGAGGCATCGTTGTCGTAGGCTCCAGGCTGCTCTCGGCAGATGCGGACGGCCACATCAAGTGCTGGAGCATGACCGATCACCTGGCCAACAGCTGGGAGAACACCGTGGGCAGTATGGTGGAAGGGGACCCGGTCGTGGCCCTGTCCTGGCTGCACAATGGCGTGAAGCTGGCTCTGCATGTGGAAAAGGTTTGTCCCAGCTCTGCAGGGGATCCAGTCAGGAAGACTGGCTTGGGTTGTTACCAAAGGGCTTGAGAAACCCCTGTCTGTGTTTCTCTCTGCTCTCGGCTTCCTCCATGGCCTTGGGCAAGTTGAGTAGGGGATTTTTTCCAGTCAGAAAGAAAAGTCAGATTCCTATT